GGTACTTACTTTTGAATTCTTTTAATTTTCTGTAGTTTTAGGAACAAGTTACTACCAGTTTTAAATTTGTGAAAGGTACCTTAGCTATTTAAGTAACCGTTTCAAATGTTATAGTTAGATGACAAGGTTTCCTCTTATAAAACTTAACTGGTATATCAGGGATTTCGGCAGCTGTATAGGTTACTGCAGCTTTATAGTTTGGTTGGTATTCCTTATCTAGTAACGGTGCTGTGCTTAGAAGGATCAGCGATAAAAAGACTTTTAGAAAATATGCTTTTTTAATTGTGACCTTCCTTCACCGTTTGCCTGTGGAGTTCTGTAATCTGTTAGGTTCTCTTCTGGTATTTTCAGATTTGCCTAAGTACTCCCTAACTTCCTAACAGTCTACTGCTGTAGTGTTGCTCTACCTGTTATGCTTCACAACGCGGCCCTCTTTGAGACGCATTATTCTTTGGGATTTAGAAGTTTAGAGGGTTCATTTCTGCTCCTCATCCCTTAAGAAACACCATATTCATCACAAAAATGTTACATTCTTTTTCCTCACTTCCCAATCACTTCAAAAATACCCACGTAATCGCAGCGTTTTAGATGTGAAGCTGCAACTTGTCGATTAACCCACTACACAAAATGATTGGAGAATCCTTGAAGTGCACATTGGGATACGCAAGTAACACATGTGCTAAAAGTATAAGCTGCAGCATTGAATTTGCCCAGTTATTATGAAAGTTACTTTGAACACGGACTCAAGGACCGTTTCTGTTCAAACTTTTGCTCCTTGCTCTTTTTTTTCAAAAGATGTGCATCGTAAAAGCAGTTAAATTATGTATACTGGCATATTTACAACAGCAGTGCCTGGGTGGGAAGAAGTGAGCTCCAAAAGATTCTTAATCTAACGGTGTAAAGTTGTGGAGTTTAGCCATTACCCATACCACTACCTTTTGCGCCAAAGCAGCTCAAAATGTTTTCCAAAATAAAGTAGCACTTGACCGCTAGAGAGTTTCAAAGTACCAACGAGATAAGTTTGACCACATGATGATTAAAAGGCAGAGAGGGATAGAGAGTCCCACACACATAGAAAAAGATAGCTTCTAATAATAAACTTTTTCGGAGAAGCAAAAGCACTTAAGTTTATTTTTAATCTGCCATTTTTTTTGGGATTTTCTCGTTATTCTTCCTCTATTTTGGAAGTTCCCTTTTCTACTTGATGTTTCAACGATAAATTCGTGAACTTTCATTTTTATAATTTAAATTTTTTGAGGTCACTATCTTTTAGTTGGTTATCTGTAAGGGATTTTTTGCTAATATTGAATATAGTGTTTTTCAATGTTGTTTCGGCAGTGAATTATACTGTGTTTAAACAGTTATGGAGACCTCTTGACCTCGTGATACATTTGCATCCAGCTTACTCTGGGCCTGCTAACGACTTCACAGCATTTGTGTCTATTGACCTCCATATCACTTGTTCGGATGATTATCCTTTAAAAAGGTGCATAGCGTTATTCCCATTTTTATTGATAAAATTTTATGATACTCCTTTATTCATCTCACTGAGACAGATTTCTTACGAGCTAGAAATATATTTATTGCGATTTCAGTGCTCCCAAAGTTTTTTTGGAAAACCCTAAAGGACTTTCAGACGGAGATGTCAAAAAATTGAATTGTATTCTTACAAAAAAGTCAGATGAAATGTTGGGATCGGTTAGTTTTGTTAATGTCAGCAGGATAAGACTTATACTGCAACTTTTGCTTCATGGAAAAACTGTTTTAACACCTGTTTTTGGTGAATATTCGCAAAATTTTATAGATCGTATTTTTATTTTTGAAATTACGTAGTAAATAATGAAAGAGGATGCTTTTTCTTCGTCCTGCATATTAGTTTTCAGGAGGTAGTGCTTGAGCTCTGTCAGATTGTAGAGGATTTTTTGTCTAAAAATAATAAACCACCTGAGGGTTCATTTCACGATGGTATGCTTCGTGAAAAGGCTGCAGCTGAACACGAAATAAAGGTTTTGTTTTTACTGTTTTTTACCATAGGGTTTATTTATCGAATAGTGAGCAGTTTGGGTTATTTTTAAAATTTGCTCATTTTGAGAAGCAGAAAGCTACGACAGAGCAACGTGAGAGAGAAGAAATTGCCGCTTTTCAAGAAATTCGACGTGAAAAATTGTTATGGAAAGAAGCTGAAAACTATGAAAGGACTTCAAACAGGCACTTGTCTATTTTCTCTTCAGAACTTTTGTGTTGCATCGATGGTGTAGAAAGGCGTATCTGCCCTTCTAGTTCAAGCGGTCCGAGGGCTCTAAGTAATAACATTTATAAGGAATATTCTGCTCACGTGTTTGACACGGTAGGCTTCAGGAGTGCTCGAGGATAACTTTCTAGAAGAAGATGTAATTCTTGAATTTTCTTTTAATCCTCACACGTACTCACGTCAGGGTAGCGAAGTTTTGGTTACCGAATGGAGGTTCATTTATTCGTTAGGGCGGAGAGGTGCTTTGCGTAAAGCTGACTTTCGTGTGCAACCGTTTCTTGAAAAATTAAGCGCTTTGGAGGACCAAATGTTACGATTAACAAAGTGGAAGGTTGCTTCGCAAAACCTTTGCTCTTACAGCTTCTTCTCAGTTCTAAAAAACTCGGTTTCGCCAACAAAAGTTGACGTCAGGTATTTTCTTCTAGAGTGAATTCTTCTAGAGCGCTTTTAGTAATAATACTTTCTTATAAAAGTTTCTGCTCTTTTTTTAAAGCAGTCGTTTTTTTATTACGCGAAAAATTTTTAAAGTTTTTTTGTTGTATCTTATAACTGTTACATTTATTATTTGTTTTGGATAGTTTTCTGCACAAATGTTTAAGAATTCTGCTTGCTCAGTCTGTAGGAAGCGGTGATACAGTTTTGTCGAGATGTGCTACAGATCTTCTTTTTCGACCGGTAACTTTATCTTGCCTGACTTTTAGAATTACTTTTTGCGTTTGTAGACTTAACGTTACGATTTTTTATTTCTGCCCATGATTTGTAGACAGTTCTTTCGAAATTGGCAGCACAAACCTTATTGGCTTTAAAATCCCTTCATTGTCAACAGTTACTACATTCGAATTTATCTCCTGATACTATTTGGGTGACCACTAATGAGTCTTTTCAGACTTCTGATTATTATTTAATGTAAGTTCTTTTAATTAATTGCTTTTTGCAAGCTGAATTTCAGCATGCGTTAACCGGTCAGTATTCAGTTTCTAAAAGATGCTAGGAACTCTAGGGTTTCTTTGTACGCTGGTAGAAAATCTATCTTTTCCTCTGTTGAAATTTTTTTCAAAACTGGACAGTCTCTCGCTGAGATTGCAGAAAAACAGCATTGTGATTGTAGCCTGGGAAGTGTTTGGCTGGGATATCTCATCTAGATAAAAAATTTGAATTTATTGCTATTTGTTCAATATAAAAATTATTTTTAAGAGTTAATGAACTTGTATGAATAACATTTGTTTACCTTATAAAATTTTTTGAAATATTTAGAAAAAGGCTAGTACACTCCAGAGTTTTTGTTTGTTAACATTCTAATATAGTTGCGTACACTCTCTGTTTTCAGAGAAAAAATGAAAAGAGTTGTGTACTTTGAATTAGTCTTCTGCCACAGAAAATGGGTTTCCCTTTGGGACCAAACAGTTAGTTAATAAACGGCTCAGGGATTTAGAGTCTTACGGAAGAAAAAAGAGGAAAACTTATGGCGTAGTGAGCAAATTCAGTGTGACCAAATAGTGCAGAACATTTTTGTGAAGGGGTGGGACTGGAGTTATTCTTAGGGTATTTAGGAGCTTAGTGTCTCTTAAACCGCATTGAGTTTCTCAACTGCCAATTTTTTGAAACTTTTAGACTGATTGTCTTTGTCAACGCTAGGTGAAACTGAAATTAGTTTAGATTAGGAAATAAGTGGTGGAATTAGAAATTACCAGTGGTTCACGTAGCAGGATTTTTATATAAAGCTTCTTATTGCTTTTAACTTCGTAGTACCTAAAGATGGTGGAACTGGCTTCGAAAATTTTTTAAGCCCATTTATCGAGGAAGTTCGAGAAGCTTTTGAAAGCGGTGCTGGCAAAGATGATCTTTCCACTAAGAGAAGCTTTTCAAGAAAGGACGATATTCTACAGCTGCGAAATTTACTTCAAGCTTATTCTTCAAAACTAAGTGATGGAAAATTTAAAGACTCATTATACAGCTTTTTATTGGCTTGTGCAAGTGCAGAGTCTATTGAAGAATTGGTCGACCATCCGTTTTTATTGTGTGGTATAGTCCTGAACTATATTCAGCAGCATCACCTTAGCTTTCTGTTATAAGAGTTTACCAGTGCATTCTTCGCCTGTTGTCTTTCGCAGTTTTCGTAGAAACGTTTGATGCTTTATTTAACGAATTTATGACATTATTGTTTGCAGTAGAATCACCTTCATTTGCTGCCTCAATGTTAAACAATGAGGGAATTAATTTTGACGGTAGTAACAGGTTAAAGAACGAGTTTGTCTATTTGGATTTTCTGGGCAAGGGTGGATTTGGCGATGTTGTTCTTGCACGGTTAGTGCTTTGCAAATTATTTAGCTCATTATTTTTGCAACTAGAGTGTTCAGTAAGTGTATTTTAGATAATTCTTTTACCGGTGGTGGTGTGAATTTTTACGCTAAAAGCGTCACAACATTCAGGAGCTCATATTAGGCTTTTGTAGAATCGTTTACTGTGTTGGAGGTTTTATTTTTTAGGAACAAGTTAGACGGAAACGATTACGCGATAAAGAGGATACCACTTGACCCAAGGGATGAGAAGCTAAATAGAAAGGTCATGCGAGAAGCAAAGCTATTTTCTGGCCTTTGTCATACGAATGTTGTTCGATATTTCAGTGCATGGATAGAACACGTCCCGAAACCTTCCTCCCCATCAAGATCTACAACTGCTGAAAAGGCAGAGGAGGGTGAGCGGCAAAGCTCTTGTGAAAGTACGTCACAATTATTTTGTTTTAATCGCTTGTTAGAAACGGTAGTACTTTATTTTCTAAAATTTCGTGCCGGTTAATATAATAAATTTTGGAAGGTCAAG